AGCAGATGGTTGGATCAAGGGGCTAGTCTTTCAGGATCTCTCACCTGAACACTCTTCCTTCAGTTTTGAATGTCACGTTTTTTTAATCAAAGAGGCTTCCTGGAAGCAACATGGCCACATGGACAGACCACAGGGCACAGGGCCAGGACACCTGGATTCTGGCCTGGGTCTGTGGAGGAGTGGTGAAGTGACCTTGAAAGAATGGCTCACCATCTCTGGCTCCTAACACTCCCGCTTGTTAATGGAGCCCACCTGTGTGGCTGGTGACTGTGGGAATATATCATGTGATACAGGAAAATGCTTGGGAAAGAATGAAATGTTCACTCAACAACGTCTTCAGTGTCTACCACAGTTCTGGTTCTTTGTCAGGCATGGAAATCCAAGCATGAACATGGCATTGTCCTTGCCCTGAAGGAATTCATGGTCCCATGGGAAAGACAGACTCCGCCATGACTGCATCTTGTGCTGTATACACTCTGAGGGGGTGAGCGATGGATACTATAGGAGCAGAAGGAAGCGCCTATCACATTACAGAGAGTAAGTCAAGAAGCCTTCCCGCAGGAGATGATAGTTAGGAGATGACAATTTCAACAAGCCCGCAATCCCCACCACTGGCCACCGTTTAGTCAATATTCTCTCTGCTGAGGATCCTGCCAGGCTATTTACATTCATTCATGTAAACAATACAGAAGGTCAAGGTTGTTATACATATGATAAAACAGAAACCCAGAGAAGTTTTTAAAAAAGAAAATTAAAAAAGGTCACATAGCTGGTAAAGAGTACAGCCCAAATTTAAACCTCACCGTGACTCCCAGAGCCCCTGGTCTTCACAGTGTAGCCTCCTTGTTCTGGGCGACTCCACTCGCACGAGGCAAAAACGGAGGGAGGAAGTCCCTGGAAGACAAACTTCAGCTAACAGGAAGGAAGACGTTCCTAACAGAGCCGTCTAAGAATGAGATAAGCTGACTGTGGGAGGTGGGGAGCTCTGGGTCATAGAAATGTCATGGAACAGACTGGTGACCTAGCCAAGACATTGCTGCAGACATTCCTACTTGGAGGCAGAGGAGCGGTAGGTAAGCTAACTGTCTCTAAGGATACAGTTGTTAAGGATTAAGTCCTGTTATCAATGACAGTGTTCCTTTCCAAATTTTTAGGTGCTCTGGAGGGCTGGGAAAGCTCTGTGGGCACAGCATTCAGGCCGAGGTCCCACCTGTCTAGTGACGACCCACTGGGAAGAGGACACTACAGAGGCCTGATGGAGTGGTTAATAAATTGTCCTTCAGAGCCATATGGTTAGGGATGCTTTCCATTAAAAAAGCAAGAACTGACTCCAGCCACTAAAGCAAAAAGGGAATTTGTTGGAAGGAGTTTAGAATAAAGCCAAAGCTGAAGAGCCAGACTTGAGAAACGAGTGGGCCTGGAGGACGAAAACTGGCTGTTGATAGGAATGCTCTACCTCTTTTCCGTGGTAGCACTGCCATACGACCCCTCCAGCCTTGCATCACCTCGTCCAAGTTTAAGTCCAGGCGGGTGCAGCTGATCTGGGTTCCCTGCTGCCACCCTGGTTGCCAGGTCACAACAAGGGAGCATCGGCCCATATGTCTCTGTGGCGGGAGAAGACTCATCATCTTGGAACCATGGAAAGAGAACCCTCCCACCCCACCACGAACACACTCCATCTAATCACAAGGTTTCATGCCGGGTATTCCCCAATGAAAATGGACAAATGCCTCCTATGTTGGGAGGGCGCAGAGCACAGAATGAACTCAGCTCCCAGACTGAGGAAAAGATGGGATGTCAACCTGACCATTGCTGTCCGCTGTCCACTCAAGCCCCCAATGGACTGTAAGGTTATTAGTCATAAAGGATGAAGCATAAAACTATACAACAATATAACATTTTGAGCTGCTATTATGTGCTAGAATCTGTGCTAAATTAAGTTGGTTACATGTGTTATGTCATTTAATCCTCACAACATTGTCCTGAATTATAAATGGACATGAGCCTGTGAGTATATCTTCTTTCTCCCGACTATGCATCCTGAGGGAGGAACTGTCCAACTGCTTGTGCAACAATCCTGACATCACTTTTTCTCAAGCAAGTTGTTTATAACCTCTCTGTTTCCACATCTGCAAAATGGGTATAATAGTAGAATCTGCCCCATAACATCAACTTAGAGAAGGCATTTTGTACTAGTAAAGTACTTAACTCTTGAGGCAAAGTAATGTCAGTAGATGCTCCATTGTGTTCCCTTGATGGTGATGGTGATGTTGTAGCCTGTATGCAGGGCTATCCTGTTTTCACTGCAATCAGTGAGAAGGCGACACTAGTGTTTGGTTGGTCTAAACACAGTGATACAAAGACAAAATAACAAAACTCCCTCTCAGGCTTTCAAGGCCCTTCACCCTCATCTCCCTCCACAGCTTCACCATTACCACCCACTCACTGTGTACTCTATGATTCAGTCAAACCAAACTATCCACCTTTCCCCCAACATCCCAGGGGGCTTCACAGTTCCTTTCCTTACTTACACTGTTCCTTCTGTCCCCAACACCTGGAAAAATTCATGGCCCAACTCAAATCGCTTTTCCTCAATGAAGCCTTTCCCCATGGGTCCCCACAAAACATTGGTTATCTACCACTAGAGGCCCGGTGCATGAATTCATTCATGGGTAGGGGTCTGGCTCCCCCGCCCCAATGGGGGCCATTGGGCTGGGCCGGCAGGGGGGAAGGGATTGGGAGGTTGGCCAGCCCTGCCTCCAATGAGGGATGCTGATCAGGGCCAGGGCTGGCTTGGGGGGAGCTGAGAGGTTGGTTGGCCAGTCCCGCCCCTGATCATGGGGGGGGGGGCTGTTGGGGGGGCGGGGCTGACTGGGGGGAGGTGCCACAGGTGATTGGTGGGCTGGCCCCGCCCCCTAGTCGAACTCCAGGTAGAGGGGACAATTTGCATATTAGGCTTTTATTATATAGGATAGGGTCCCCAACATGCTGATTTTAAGTAATAGGAGGAAATCATTATTATTTACTCACCATCTCCACCCCAACCATCTCGAAGGAGAGGTGGGTGCCCAGTGGAGTCCTTTATTTTTCTGAGTAGGGTAGTAGGTGGGGATGCAAATGTAGTAATCTGAGAGGGGATAAAATTGTATTGCTTAGGGAAATAGAGGAGCTTGGAAAATAAGATGGGGATGTAAAATAGTGGGACAGAGGGGCAGATAAGAAAAAGGGGGCCAATTTGGGCAGAGAAAGAGATAATGGCCATTATCTATTTGACTGTGGTTAAAAACCTGCAAAAAGCAGAATTTTATTGCACAGGTAATGGAAAGCCATAGGTGAATCTTGATCAGGAAAGCAAGATGGATGAGGGTGGGAGACATTCTCAGGACGGGAGGAGGCTGCATTAGAGAGGAGGAGAGTGGTGATTTGACTTGGGAGCAAGCACAGGGTTTCTGGAGGTTGTACCTGAGCTTGTGCTGGCCTGGGCATTGCCAGCAGTGTGCACAGGCCCAGCAGATGGAGGTCTACGGATAGGGGCCTGGAGGAGGTACTTCTCCCAAGTATGAGCAGGGCTTTGAGCAGATCTGGAGTAAGAAAAGGAAGAAGAAAGAAAGAGATGGAGAACCAGAAGTCACGATCACATTTGACCTAGTGAAGGTCTTTAATGCCCAAGGGAGGGTATGGAGAAGGTGGGCAGGTAGCCTACTCTGAGCAGATGACATTCAGTCAAATATTTGAAATAAATGAGGATGAGTCAGTCACTCAGCTGTCTGGAGGCAGAGAATTCCAGGAAGAAGGACAGCCTGTATAACCCCCCTGAGTCAGGAGGAACCTGAGGTGTTGGAGGAGCAGAGAGGAGGCAGTGTCTGGTATAGAGGCAGCAAGAGGGGCTGGTAGGAGCTGAGGTCAGAGAGGTCAGCAGGATGGACCACAAGGAGAAGGGACACAATCTGACTTATGTCTTAAGAGGATACACTGGCTGTTGTGTGGAAAATGGGGTGTGGGGTGTGGGGAGGGCTATAGTGTTAAAGGTGAAGTGGGAGGATGCAGGTGTGGAAACAAGGAAACCAGATAACAGATTATAGCATAACTAGGGGCCCAGTGCACAAATTCATGCACCTTGAAAGGAACTGTGGGCCATGAGGCTGCGGTAGACACAGGGGCAGGTCTTGGCTCATCCTTTGTACCCCAGCCCAGCCCCTCCCACCACACCCCCTTCTCCCAACATCCCTCCCCCTCAAGTCCCCTGTCTGCCGGAAGCAGCTGCAAGCACCAGGAATGACTGTGGCACCCAAGAGCAAAGCATTTTCAGTAACCACCAGAGGCTTTCCCTGATGACAGCGACTGGAGCCCCCTTGGTCTGGCGCCCCTGCTCACCTGTTCCACCATCCCTTCGTGGCCAACACCCACCAAGTTCTTCACATGCCCCCTGGTGGTCAGCACACATCATAGTGACCGGTTGTTCCGCTGTTCGGTCTATTTGCATATTAGCCTTTGATTATGTAGGATACTCTGGACCTTGGTCCAAACTCACGGTGATATCAGTGGAGATGATGCAAAGGTGTTGGGTTCTGAATATATATTTTGAACCCAAAATATTTTGGAAGTAGAGACAATGGACTAACTAACTGGGTATGAGAAAGGAATAGGGGGATGCTGGTGGCTTTGGCCTGAGCATGTTTTCTGCTACCCTGTCTAGGAGACGTGCATGTATGTGTGGCCTCAGGGCATGGGCCCAGAAGTAAGGCCTCCACAGAGATATTTTGAACCTCTCTGTGACTCAGTTTCTTCTTATGTAAGGTGTTAATTATCCTTGTAGTGACTCCACAGGCTCATTGAAAGCACTGAATTAATTAATACATGTGAAATGCTTTAAAATGTCTCTGGCAAAAGAATAAATGCCAGGTGAGTGACAAGACTATTGCTACTCTTAACTATGTTTTGATAAGTGAGCAGCTTGACTTGTTCTGTTTGTACTGACTCTGCCTTTGGGGATTGCCTAGGTGCTCTCTGATGGGGTTTGACCTGAACCGTCACTGGCTGGATCCCTCTCCATGGGCCCACCCTACCCTGTATGGGGTAAAACAGCTCATCATCCAGATGTACAATGACCCAGTAAGTAACTGAACCCCTCGGCAGCTGCTGGTCTTACTGCTTGACCCAGGAAAGAGCAGTGTTGTACTGGGGAAGTTCACTGGGAATTGCAAATTGGGAATACAGGGTCAAAACCAGGGAGGAACCAGGTCTGCTCATGTCTCCTCTGCATTGGACAAACCCAAGTGCTCACAAACACTGGCCTCAGGTGTGGGGGTCTCATGGGATGAAGGAAATATACTGGAGCAGATCCACCTTTCCCAGAGCTCTTTGGTTACAAGCCAAAGAAATTCAACTTGAACTAGCTTAATGGATAATCCACTAGAAGAGTACCGGAGTATCTCATATAATTGAAGGCTGTAGGCTGGCCTCCTCCACCTGTAGGGAGCATGTGCCAAACGTCACACCCAGTGGCTCCTACAACTGTAAGAGGGGCCCACTCTCATTTTCTAGACCCAGTTCCAAAAAGACTATGAAGGGCCTGGCTTGGAGGACATGTCCATCTCTAGGCAAGTCAAACCTGACCCAAGAGGCAAGGTTCTGTAAGGACAGGATGACCTTGCTGGAAGCACCTGGTTGGACTTGGGGATGTGGTGGCATGGTGAACCTGTTCCCACCTAAAACAAGGAAACCAGATAAGAGGTTATAGCATGGTGGTCTGGACCTTGTTACAGAGGGCCGGCTCTTCCAGAGAGAAGGGGGACAGTGGGCGTCCCTACTGAGTTTGCTCATCGGGGAAAGATTTTGTAAGAGATAGAATACATTAAGGTTTCATAACTTAGAGAAAGGAGGCAGACCATGATCATTCTGCTTCTGAGGGGCTGTGGGAGAGAACAGGACAGACATCCTTTAGGTGGAAGCCAAAGGCAGAAGTAAGGCCTAAAGAAAAATAGAACTTTTTGATAATTAGAGATGCCTGGTGATAAAATGGGTATGTGCACTGTGAACTTTGCCTTACTGAAAGTGTTCAACTTGAAGCTAAGTGACACTGGTAAAAATGGCGCATGGAGGAGACTCGGTTGTTTGGAAGACATTGTAATGAGATTACAGATGATGACTAATTTTATGAGCCCCTGGCTGCCACCAGGTGACAAATAGTTATTGCTAAGACAGCAAGAGTCCCAGAGTTGGGGTATTTCAGAGATGCATCAGTGTAACTCTTTGAAGATATCCATAAAAATATCCTAAATTAAAAAGCAGCATTTTTTGAGTAGCCCTCACAAATACTGGGCTCAGTTGTGGAGGTCTCATGAGATGAAGGAGCCAAAATGTGTACTTAAAACAAATGCATATATTAGAGCAAGGGTTAATGAAAAAGTAAATCCTTAGGTGCAATGTAATTCACTTGATTGTTATCTTGATCCTCCTATGAACTTGGCTTTCCTAAATCTTTTTTAGCCAGTGCCTGTGTAGCCATTGCTTTCCTATACTTGCTTCCTTCTCCAGCTCCTCCTTCCCTGTCTACAAAAGGTGTTAACTGCTCACAAGCACTGTTCTTCCCCTGGACCCTCAATGCCATCCTGACCAGCTTTCTTGGCAGACAGAAGCTGCTTCTAAGTTTCCCGGGAAGTGCTTATGGTCCCCTGGGTTCGCCCCTGCCCACCTCCACCCGACCTCTGGGTTAACTGCAGTTTCCCTGATAGAATCACAGTGCTTTCTTCCCCTGCCACCTCTTCTTAAAGAGCACAGCTCCGACACATTTTCTGACCTGGTTGATAATAGGAACAAAGGGGTGTTTTAGTAGAATCCTGGAGGGTAGAACCAGAGAGCCAAGGCATGGGGAAAGAATTAAAGGAAGGGGGTTAGGCTTCAGCCTGCCGTTGCCATCACAAATCAGAATTCATTGATCTTCTCACAATCCACCAGGCACTCACCCATGTCATGGAACACAGATGAGACAAGACTGAGCTGCAGAGCTGTCAGGACACTCCTGGTGCCACCAATAGGTTGATTGTCAGCTGGTTGGTCTTAATAAACACACTTGGATGCTGAGCTCGTTGTGTAGGCTGTACTCTTCCTGAAAGTTGGCTCCTTTATGCCCCAAGTGAGGACCTGGCCTAGAACAGGACCCATCTCCCTTGGTCTCTTCCTGTCTCCCCCTGTCCTTGTCCTGTCTTTTACCCCATTTTTTCCACAAATACTTACCAAGTAATTTCTATACACCAGTCATTGTGATTCTAATAGTGAGTGAAACCTTGGAACCTAGTGGGGAAATAGATATTAAACAAGTAAATACCCATAACTAGTGATTTACAAATTGTGTCTTATTACCCAAAAAAGCACCAACTATGATCTACAAGTAGAATGGCTATACATTTCAGCTTGCCTGGGGACAGTTGTGGCTTATGCCTGTTGTCCTAGAGTATCTGTTAATACCGTCCCCTTTCCTCTTATAAGTCTCCCAGTTTGGATGATAAATTATGGCCTCTCTACTTAAAAGCAATGTGAAAGCACCTAGTACAGTACCTGATATGTAGCAGATCCTCTACAAACATTATTTGTATCTGATTCAAATTAACATTTGACTAAAGAGTCATTGTGTCCAGTTGCAAACACTGCTGTGCCCCAAGGGTCTGCCCTATTACTTTTAAATGCATTTCTCTCCTGACCTTGACTGTCACATAGTCATCATAATCACTCTGCCCAGAGCTATCTGAGCTGCCAGGACAGCTTCTGGCCTTTACACTCACAGCCTCACTCTTTCCATGTAAGAGAGAAACACCCATCAGTCGCCTCCTGCACGCCCCCTACTGGGGATTGAACCCAAAACCTGTGCACGTGCCCTGACCTGGAATCGAACCAGCGACATTTGGTGAACCAGATGATGTTCCAACCAACTGAGCCACACTGTCCAGGGTGAAGGAAATTTTCTCAAGGAATTTGGACTGGGCCTTTACAAATGGGTAATACTCCATCAGATGGCTATGGTTTGGAGATGAGGGAGGTTACAGGGAAAGGGAGAGGGCATTCCAGGGAAAGCTAATGGCATGGAGGTGCGAGATCTGGCTGCTGAGGTCAGTATGCAGGGCTTATGACAGGGAGCCGCAGGAGGGCAGCACGGGGTGGAGTGGAGGGACGGGGAGACAGACGTGGAGAAGCTCATGGATGACTTTGAACATTGAGCCAAGGAATGTGGCTTCTTCCATGGCCCAGTGGTCCTTTCTCATTAAAACAGTGGTTCTCAACCTTGGCTGCACATTAGAATCACCTGGGAATCTTTTTAAAATCCTGATTTCTGGGTCTCATCCTCCGGAAATTCTGTTTCTTTGTTATGGAATGGGGCCACAACATTAGTAACAAAGAAACAGAATTTCTGGAGGATGAGACCCAGAAATAAGGATTTTAAAAAGATTCCCAGGTGATTCTAATGTGCAGCCAAAGCTGAGAACCACTGCAATAAAATCAAAGTCCTAGGCCCTCCTTTAAATTGAGTTTTAATTGAATTAAATATCATGACTCCAAAAAAAAAAAAAATCAAGGCAATGAAACAAAATGCCACTTGTCAGGTAAATTCCAGCACACACCCTTTCTCAATCTTGGAATCAATAGAAGTCCATGGAGAGCCGTCTAACACAGTGGAGCAAGGGAGAGATCAATGAATAGTATTGCCGTCCATTCACTATCCCAAACTAGATACTCTAGAGCAGTGGTTCTCAACCTTCTGGCCCTTTAAATACAGTTCCTCATGTTGTGACCCAACCATAAAATTATTTTCATTGCTACTTCATAACTGTAATGTTGCTACTGTTATGAATCGTAATGTAAATATCTGATATGCAGGATGGTCTTAGGCGACCCCTGTAAAGGCCGCCAGAGGGGTCGCGACCCACAGGTTGAGAACCTGCTCTAGAGTCATTCTAAAATTTAAATCCAACTGAGTCTCCCTCTCATGCTTAACACCTTTCACTGTCTCCCCATTACCTGTGGAGTAGAGGCCAAGATTCCTGACATGCCAGTTAAGCACACAACCTATTCACACCCAGGACATAGTACAGAACGTGGCTCCATGGAGAATAATATGCTGAATGCCGAATGCACAGATGAATATGAGTAGCGTGTATGCTTTAGAGAATTACTGAGGCTGCGGTGGAGACAGTGGGTCAGAGGAGCTAAGAGGAATTCGGAGAAGAGAGATCTATCTCTAGGTGCCTATTGCAAGAGTCCAGGTGAAGGACAAAGAGACCTGAACTGGAGTGTGGCCGGGCTATTGCTAAGAGCCCCTTGAACTTCCTGGGAGGTGAATGGGTCCCCCCTGCCCTTCCTGTGCTCCAAGTCCCCCAGAGCCCACGGGTTGCTGTTTAGAGAAGTTTCTATGCTCTGGGGTGATGGCCCCCCTTTTCCTAGAGGAGAAAGGCCTGTGTTGCTATAACAACTTGGCTGCAGTTCTTTTAGGCAGATCCGTTTTCTTAAATCATTTAAGGAAAATTAGCTGCCATAACAACACAGAGCGGTTTTTAAAATAGAGCAACACAGGACTGGGCTTATTTTTTATTTTTTTTTTCTCTTGCTCACCTCCTGTAGTCCTCAAGATAAGCCACTCTCTTTCTATTAAATAAATAACTAAACTGTAACACACTGATATGACAGAGTGGATGGCGACATGGTCAAACACACAGAGCCAGCACTCACTCCTGCTACACAAACACAGATGCACAACATAGAAATTTGCAGAAAATGCATGCATTTACATTCATAAGACAGAAAATGCATCCACATAAAGACATAAACTTAGTAAATGAGTATATAGTTATATATAATCACGCAAACCACACACACACACACGGCCAGGCACAGGTCCACTACTGCATTACCACAGAAGGAGGCAGCCCATGAGGTCTGTTCGCAGTGTGAGCAGAGGTTTCACTGGGTCACCAGACAGGAAGGCCCTGCAATAGCAGCTCCTCGCTGGAAGCCAAGGGGCACCTGCGTGTTCATACCCAACAACCTGAGGACAGGGACGGGGAAGGAAGGGGAGAATCCTGCTGGTGGAAGGATGGGGGTAATGGGTAAAGGGTAGGGGC